GGGGGGGGGCTTATCTGGGTCCTCCTTTGAAAGTAACTTCCGCCAAGAGGGAAGAATCCCCAGTTTGGAGCCAAGTCCAATTGAGGACCACTGTCTTCCTGAGGCTTTTCCAGCCACATTTCCTCAGATGGGGTTTGGCACTGCCTTCCTCTGAGGCTGAGAGAGTGTGACCCACCATGGCCGAGGCCCCAGAGTCCTGGTCCAACAGGGAACCTCTGGACAAGGCTTTTTGTCGTTCTGCCCCTTGCAGTGGATTCTTGACGGTTAGCATTCCTATCCTAGGAGGGGGAAGGGAGGCGAGGAGGGCTGTCTAGGTTTCTGAGGCTGAGAGAGTGTGACTTGCCCAAAGGGACCCAGGGGGTTTCCTGGGTTGAGTGGGGATTCGAACTCTTACCTTTCAGGAGCCTAAGCCTCAAACCAGGTCATCATCCTGGCTTTTCCAGTTTGCAGATGCAGCCTTGGAAACCCCAAAGGACCTTCCCAGAGTGGTTTTGGGGCTGGGATAGAAGACAGGCCTCCTCTGCCCTCTCCCTGGCCCTCCCTTTGGCATGGCTGCCCCATGGGACCTCTGGAGAGCCTGGGGCAGGAGGGACCTTGGCCAGGCTGTAGGGAGGCATTCATCCCCAAATGGAGAGCAAAGCCATGGTCAGGCTGCCCAAGGGAGGGAGCACCCACCGCAGGCTGGGCATCCTCCAAGCCTCCAGGAGGGGACCAGACAACATTTGAGGGGGGAATCCCTCCCAGGCTTTACAAAGTGGGGACACCCCCCCCCCAAAGGATCCCTGAAAGAGGCAAGGAGGGCAACCTCTGGGGTCCCAGGGGTGGCAGAGGATGGGCAGACCCTCCAGAGAAGGTCTTGTATCTGCCAATGAGGTTGTTCTTTGAATCCCATGCTGGATGTAAATGAATGAATGAAATGAATCCATCAAAATCTGTTCCCTGGCCAAATCCCCAAGATGCAGAGGGAGAGGTTTAAGGAAAGGCAAGCCTCTACCCAGAGATGGGTTCCGGAGACTTATGCAAAGGTCCAAGAGAATGAGAAGGTCAGCCCAGTCAGGACAAAACAAGGGAAGCATCAAAATCCCATGTATTAGTTACAGTCTTGCAAGAAGGGGTGTCCTAAGCAAGTAGGCACCCCCCCCCCAACTTGATGCAGCAGGTTTTTAATCCCTTTTCCCTGCAGCATATTCCCTCCTTCATTTCCCCATTGGTCAAGTACTTTGAGGTTTACAGCCCACCATGCCTGCCTAACATAAATACATTGTTCCCTGACCCAGATTATATCTCCCAGATGCAAACTCAGATTCAAAATCCCCTTAACATTATTTACAGACCTCCTTTTAAGGTGGCTTAATTTTAACTATAGCGAAAGCTATACAATTTCCATGATGCTGGCCTCTGGTTTTAGCCAAAAACTCATTATTAACTATCCCTTTCTTCCCTTCATGGTTCCACTGTCTCTGTATTGAGCTTGTTAGTTACCTTTGCTTAGGAAGCTATCTCTATCATTGCCTTCCTCTTTGGCTGAGAGAGTGTGACTTGCCAAAGGCCACCCAGTGGGATTTTGTGGCTGAGCGGGGATTCGATCCCTGATCTCCTGGAGTCCTAGTTCAACACTCAAACCACTACACCATGCTGCCTCTTATATTTTATCTTTGTATCCTTCTATTGTCTTCTACTGAGTCCCTGTAGTGGGAGAAAGATGGGATATAAGTGAATAAAATTTAATATTAATCTTAATCTTTGCCTATCCACTGAAGGACAGCAAGGAGAAGGGGTCATTCTAGCCCCTCCAAGAAGGGCATTCCTTCTTGAGTCCAGGGGCATCCACCAAAAAGGCCCTCTCTCCCAGTGTCACTAGCCTTACCTGCCAAAATGGTAGCCTCTTGGCCTGCATCTGCACTGCAGATGTATGGATAAATGGACTGGTTGGGACTTGGATGGGAAACCTCCACGAGGGAAGATTTATAATATCTCGGACTGCACCTGCACTGCAGAAATAATGCAGTTTGTCCCTGCTTTAATGGCCAAGGCTCAATGCTATTGGATTCTGGGATTTGTAGTTTTGAGAGATATGTTGCCTTCTCTGTCAGAGGATTTTGGGGGCGCAACAAACTACAAATCCCAGGACTCCATAGCATTGAGCCATGTCAGTTAAAACAGTGCCAAATTGCACTATCTCTGCAGTGCAGATACAGACGCGGTCTCCTTCCTACAAATGCCTGAGGATCCCAGGGATTAGATTGTGGGTTGGGCAGGTTAAAGGTTACCCAGGAAAGGATGTCTTTTCCATCCCAATGTTACTTCATTCTTAGCATTCATTGCAGTGAATTAATGGCCTAAGAAAACCCTATAAAATCCATAAAACATATTCAGAGGTTGCTGGGTTGTCCATACAACAAAATCCAAAATTCACCAAAAGAATGACACCTTTATTTGCACGGCTTATTCTGTGCATGTTGGTTGGCCAATAAAGGTATAGCTTTTTGGTGGATTTGGGGTTTTGTTGCATGAAGTTTGCGCAGTCGCCATAAGCCAGTGACTTGAAGGCACATCCACACACATCCAATCAAATGGAGAAAGGGATTCCTCCTTATCTCTAGGACCCCTGCAGCTCAGAAAAAGAGGCTGAAGCTTTCAGGATGTGGATTGAGATGCAGAGTAGTCAGACGGAGGGGGACTCTCATCTTTCACAAAAGGATTGAGCAAAAGATGGTGGTGAATGATGCAAGGCTGCAAATCTCTCACCTAATGCCTTGAAGGAGTAAGAAAAGGGAAAAAGAGAAGCAAAAAGAAAATATTTCCTTTGCAGACGCCTCTCCTTGTACTCAAATGACTGGGATGTGAGTTATAGTCCCTGGCCAGGGAATTCATTTCCAAAGTGTTCAATATATCCTTCCAGTTATAAAACTGGAAAGGTGGGTGAAGGAAACAAAAGGTGAGCAAGCTTGTTTTCTGCTGCTCCAAAGAATAAGACATTCTTATTATGGATTCTAACTATGGGAAAAGAGATTCCACCTAAATATTAGGAAGAACTTCCTGAGAGTAAGAACTGTTTTGACAGTGGAAGACACTGAGTTTGGTGATATGATAGCCTTGCTTAAATATTTGAAGGGGTGCCATATTAAGGATGGAGGAAGCTTCTTTTCTGCTGCTGCAGAGAATAGGACACAATGGAGCAATGGATGCAAGTGACAGGAAAAGAAATTCCACCTCAACATTAGGAAGACCCACTTAGACTCCTGTGTCCAGTTCTGGGCACTACAATAAAAAAGGATGTGGACAAGCTGGACCGTGTCTAGAGGAGAGCGACCAAAATGGTGAAGGGTCTGGAAGCCATGAATCCTTATGAGGAGAGACTTAGGGAACTGGGGATGTTTAGCCTGGAGAAGAGACGGTTAAGGGGTGACATGATAACCATCTTTAAATATTTGAAGATGTAGGAATTTGTTTTCTGCTGCTCCAGAAACTCGGACCTGGAGCAATGGATGCAAGGTACTGTAATTCCACCTAAACATTGGGAAGAATTTCCTGAGAGTAAGAACTGTTTGACAGTGGAAGATGCCCCCTTGGAAAGTGTTGGAGTCTCCTTCTTTGGAGGTCTTGAAACAGAGGCTGGAAGGGTCACGGAGGGCTTTCCTTGTGTGTTCCTGCATGGCTGAAATGTGTTGGATTGGATGGCCCTTTGTTTCATGTATTGTTCTCTGGAGCAGCAGAAAACAAGCTTGCCTCATCCTCAATATGACCCCCCTTCAAATATTTTAAAATGGCCACCATGTCACTCCTTAACCTTCTCTTTTCCTTCCTTATACAACACTGAGATCACGACACCATGCTGGCTGTCTTAGAGGAAGCAGGAACCTTCATGTATTCATTTGAAAAAGTGGGGTGAATAAAAATTTGGGAAGCTTTTCTACTAAACAGGCAATGATGGGGAATCTGAGAGCATCTTGCAAATGTGTTTTGCTTTAAAAAAAATATGATGAATTTTGAAGTCCTGGAATCTGGCAACGTTCTGAAGAAACAGCAGCTTTCACCAGGGAAAAAGAACAGACACTTTACAAAAAAAAATCAGTGTGTGGTTTATTTTATTTTTTTAACATTTTAGTTTTTTTAAAAAAAAACTTATATTGTTTTAATTGTGACTATTTTAATTGTTTTAAAGGTTTCACTGTGGATTTTGATTTGCTTTCTGCTGTGAGCCACCTTAAGTTCCCACTCTGGGAGAAAAGTGGCATATAAAACAAATAAAGGAAATAGATAAATAAATAAAACCTTCCAGAATCAACAGATGCATGTAGTTGGCAGTCCCTCTCCCATGGGGCCTCCTGCTTTGTGCACATATGCATGGGTCCCTGTAGGATCCCTTGTTATTGTTGTGGTGGTTGTTGTGTGCCTTCAAATTGAACCTATCACACAGTTTTCTCTGCAAGACCTGGAGCCATGGATGCAAACTACAGGAAAAGAGATTCCACCCAAACCTTAGGAGGAACGCCCTGACAGTAAGAGCTGTTCAACAGTAGAAGACGCTGCCTTGAAGAGTAGAATCAGAGAATCATAGAAT